TCAGTGTGGCAGTTCTGTGAAAGACTGAATCCATCTATACAAAGAAAAACTTATACCACTGTCTTATTTAAGTTTTGTTTTGTTTTTTGTTTTTGTTTTTCCACTGTGAACAGACACCATGATCATGACAACTCTTACAAAGGGAACATTTAATTGGGGTGTCTTGCTTACAGCTTCAGAGATTTATCATGATGGGGAAAATGGGGGCATGCAGGCAGATGTGATGCTGGAGTAATAGCTGAGAGTCTTACATCTTGTAAACAACATTAAGTCAACCGACTCATTGAGTGGTATTCTGAGCATAGGAAACCTCAGAGTTTGCCTCCACAGTGACAAAATTCCTCCACTAAGGCCATACCTACTCCAACAAAGCCATACCTCTTAATAGTGTCACTCCCTGTGAGATTATGAGAGCCAATTTCAAAGTACCACATTCCTCACCTTGATTCCCTTAGCTTGTAACAATATTATAATGCAAAAATGTATTGAGTCCAACTTCAAAAATCACCATAGTGTATAAGTCTCAACAATGTTTAAAAGTCCAGTGTTCAGTCTCTTATGAGATTCATGCAATCTCTTAACTATAATCTCCTTTAAAATCAATATCAAAAACAGATTACATGCTTCCAACTTATAATGGCACAGTATGTACATTACCATTCCAAAAGGAAGGGGAGGGAGCATAGTAAGGAAATATTGAACCAATGCAAGAACAAAGACCAGTTGGGCAAACTCTAAACTCTGCAACTCCATGTCTGATATCAAAATGCTCTTCTGATTTCCAATTCCATTCAGCTTTGTTGACTCCAACACATTTCTTTCTCTTCTACTGATTGCCTTTTCTGTTAGCAGCTATCCTTGGCAGGTATCCCATGAATCTGTCATCTCTAACAACTTATGTTCTCCAATGTAATTCAGACTGCACTTTCACAGCCTCACATAATGGCCTCTATGGTCCTCCATTCAGGGACACACCTACCACATACGTGGCCTCAACAGCTTTATTCTATGACTCCTTTCTTCCGTCCTTAAATATAAACCCAGTGCCATGTAGCTGAATCTGCCAAATTTTTCTGCTTCCTGGGGCTATAACATGGCCCCCTCATTCGATTACATCTTCACTAACTTTCTGTCCTTCACTGCCTGAGTTTGGCTATCCCTAAACTTAGTCTAGAGATCAAGCTGACCTCAAACTCAGAAGTCCTCTAGCCTCTGCCTTCCCAGGGCTAGGATTAAGAGTATGCCCCACAAAACTTGGCTCTAAGCTTTTCTTCAGTTTCTTTTCATAATTTGGAAACTTAGCTCAGAGTTATTTTTTCTCTGAGATCACTACTCTCTTTATTATATTTCTTAAACCATTTATCTTCTTGCACATAGCATTCAGATACATTCCACTTCCTGGTGCTCTTTTTCTCCTCAAAATTTACATTTTGTAATTTACCCTGTTCAACTTGCTCCTTTTTATTATACATCTCCATTAGAGTTACCACTAATATCAACACAAAAGAATCTATACTGGGCTGTTTTACGATTTCTTCTGCCAAAAGAATGAATTCAAAACCTTCACTTAAGCCTTAGGCAGACTCTCCAGAAAAGGGCAAAAGCAGCCATACTCTTGACCAAAATATCACAAGAGTGATCTCTGAGCAGTATACTAAACTTCTTCTCTTCTAAAACCTCTTGAGTAACCCCCCCATATTTCATCATATCACACTCAGCACCACTATCATCCATGCCCCTAGTATGGCCCATTAAGCTGCACTTATAATGTTCAACTGCTTTTCTAACTTACAGTCACAATCCATATTACTTAAAAAAAAATGCACGGAGATGTCTTCAAAAACAATACCCTACTTCTGGTAAAATCTTCTCTCTTAGTTAAGATTTGTATTGTTTTGAAGAGACGCAATGGTTATGGGAACCCTCACAAAGGAAACATTTAATTGGGGTTGCTTGATTACAATTTCAGAGGTTCAGTCTGTCATCATAATTGCAGGGAGCAAGACAGCATGCAGGATGTTGTGCTGAAGAAATAGCTGAGAATTCTACATCTTGCAGAACAGCAGTTGACTGAGTTACTGGGTAGTATTCTGAGCATAGGAAACCTCAAACCCACCCCAAAGTGACATGCTTCCTCCAACAAGGCCATACCCACTCCAACAAAGCCACATCTGCTAATAGAGCCAATCCCTATGAGATTATGGGATGTAATTACATTCAAACTACCATATACTACTCATAGGCATATAACCAAAAGTCATTTCTTACAACCACAGAGACACTTCCTCAACCAAATGCATTGCTGCTCTGTTCCTAATAGTCAAAAATTTGAAGAAGAGGAAGGAGGAGGAGGAGGAGGAAGGAAGTCCCTCAACATAAGAAAGGATGAAGAAAACATAATACATTTACATGATAGAATATAATTCAGCCACTAAAAAGACAAAATCATGTAATTAACAGGAAAATGGATGGAGCTATAAAAATTAATTCTGAGTGAGATATCCCAACTCAGAAAGAAAATAAGAAATGCACTACCTTTTCTGAGAATATCACCTTCTAAGCCAACAAAAAAAGGCTACAATCCATAGAAGCATGAAGGTTAGGTATAGTCTAAGGTAACAAAGGATAAAGGTAGACCTCAATTGGAAATAGAAATATAGTAGATTGTTACAGATGGTTAGGGAGATGGGACAGCAGAATCAAGTGTGGATGTAGAAAAAAGAGTAGGACAGTGGAGGAAATATAGGGGAAAGAGCTAAAATTAAGGGCCATTTGAGGGATATATATTTGAAGGTGATCTAGTTGAAATCATCAAATAATGGCAGAGACAGTCCAACCTGAACATCACTTGTCACAAAATGAAGCTTCTTCTACCATGATTAGGTTACATCTATTTGAGTTGTTGGCCAAAGGAATCCCACAGGAATCCTTAAGCAAACCAGGATGTTGCCAAGAAGACAGATATTTCTCCACAAGATTGTTTCAAGGCACCCGTGATGAAGAGAGCATCTACACATAACTCTGAACATGGAGAAGTTGATCTAGTGCCTACAAAGAGTTTTCACCCTCATGATTTAGTGTCTGTGCTACAGGAATATACTCTGAAGCCTATCAGAAGAGAAAGGTAATCACAAAGCCAGCCACAAACTCTGTGGTATACAATGGTGTACTGTCACCAAAATATGCTAGGATAATGGCGATACAAAGTTTCAGGAGTAAATGACCAATATCAGATTTGACCTAAGGACAATTCTATCATATGGAATGAAAATACAACATTTACTTGGATGCTAAGGACCAAAAAGCCTAAACAGCTCAGGAATCGAGGGTAAAATCTAATAATATTGGTTTAAAGAAAAGTAGCAATAAAATTACTCCTAATGGCATTCTGCTATAAATATAGACCAGTGCCTTAGTGAGCAATTATCACAGCAGCTTCTTCCTGCAGAAGAGGGAAACAAATACAGAGACTCACAGCCAGACATTATGCAGAGAGAGAGGGGGGGGAGGGAGGGAGAGAGCGCGCTTAGAACTTAAGAGGTATAAGTGGGATTGTTCTAGCAATTGCCACTGTCAGGGCTCATGTAACCCTGCAAAAGAGGAGTTGGAAAAAATATAAGAACCAGAGGGATGGACGACACCAAGGAAATATCAAAGTTCATATAAACTCAAAGAGACATAGGGAGAATGCACATGAACTGCATGGGTCTGCATCAGGTATCTGAGTACATGTAATAGGTTTCAGTTTTATGTTTTTGTTGGATTCCTGAGTGTAGGAACAAGTGCGTCTCTGATTCTTATGCCTGCCCTTTAGCTATTTTTTTCTGTTTGTTTGTCATCTCTAACTCCAATGCATTTGTTTTAGTTTCATGTTATTTTATTTTATTATTGTCCCTTAGAAACAGGGTTTTTTCCTAAAAGTAAACAGAAAGGAAGTGGATCCAGATAAGAGGAAAAATGAGGAAGAACTGGGAGAAGAGGGGGAGGGGAAACCATAATCACAGGATATTATGTGACAAAAAAATATCTATTCTCAATACAATAAAAAAGTTTTTTTTTTAAATGTTAACCTATGGATTTAGTGACATGCCTATCAAAGATCTAGTTTACATGTAGAGGATAAGCTATCAAAAGTGGTATGAAGCCCCAAAACACCACATATAGCTAAGGCAATTGTAAGGGATAAAAACAAGATGGAAAATCACAAAATATGGCATCAAATTACACTACAGAGCCAAAATGATAACGTCATCTTGGCACTTTCATAAAAACAAACAGTCAAACATAGGGAATACAACAGAGAACCTGGATATAAATTAACAAAGCTATGGCAACATAATTTATGACAAAGATTGAAGTTGTCATTTTAAGAATGATTCACCTATAAAGAATTAATATCCGTGGATCCAGGGCAGAATTCTGGGAGGTATTTTAAGAAGTACCGCCAATATGACTCAAATAAGTGAATGAACAAAGAAACAATGAAAGGCATCTTCCAAACTCTTTGGATGTTGAGAACAAGTCAACAGGTATTTCTGTAGAAATACAAGCAGTCTATCAGAGAAGATAAGACTAGAGAAGTCTTCTGGTACTGGTGTAGGAGGATGTAATTGTGAATGGAGGAGGCTCCTGAGAAGCACAAGTTGATGGCCAGTCATATTTTCAGTATTCCTTGCAGTTAGAATGTAGGTCCATCAAGTTGTCTGTGAAAGAAGTCAAGGTGCCCTGACAAGATGAAAGCTACAAGAAGTGAAGTTTTATGTGTTTTATAAGCTAATTGTCTAGCTCATGTGCATGTTAGCTGGGCAATGGGAAGAATATAGTAGCTGTAAGTTTCATGGACAATGCCAATTCAATCAACTGCTTAAATTCCCATACCAATTTTGGTTAATCTTAGAAAGATAAGATGCTACCTATTTAACTTTCTCTATTAACCTTCTGAGGGTGGTGGGTGAGTAAAAAATCTAGATCCCACACAAAACGTATCATCATTCATGCACTTAAAATAAGAATAAATTATTTTTATTACTGATCCACATTGAAGTAATCCTGGAAACAATGGAGTAATGTTTCATAAGAACAAAGGGTACGAAAGATGGAAAACACAGAGAAGTGAGTCGAGTGATGTTCACCAGCCACCAGTTGTGATTATACAAAAGAAGACTGCAGCTTCGCAAGACAGAGGAGAAAGTATAAAAAGTCAGAAAGGTAGACTGCAGTACCAGGATGTTCTTAATTGCTATGGACTCAGGAGAGGATCTGCTGGAACCACGTGAGCTGTGGATGAGTTGTACTCTCTGCTTGTGTCTGCACAGAATGAAAATCATGGAGCTGCTGGACCAGGTGATCAGCAGAGAAAAGAAGACCTCAGGGCACACCATCAATGCTACATAAAATGAGTCACTGATTTCATCACGCTCTACAGTAGGGCAGTATCCAAACTCTAGTTTTGTTGTTATATTTTTGCTATTAAATTTGATAAGCGGATACACAAAGAAAATGAAATGTATTAACATGGAGATGATCCACAGAAGGGAAACGGAACAGCATATATAATTTACAGTTTTGAATTTATGATCCTTCCAACAGGATTCCCTGGATCTGATGATCATGGCCTGGATGACACTCAAGAGACAGGTGGTTCCAATGGACACAATTCGGCCAACTACTTGAATATATAATAGGATCCTGCATACAAAATCACTCAAGAACTGCATCAGCCCAAATGCTGCCATTGTGTGGGGCACTCCTGAAGAGAGTATGATCATGGCATTGGCTGTCATTAGGTGAAAAAGAATCAAATCTGTGGGCTTTAATACACATTCTCTGTAGTAAAGGACTAGATAGCAGAAAATAAGAAAAAAATTTCCCAGAATTCCAATTAAAGTTTGTGATAAGAAAATAATTCTGATTGCCAGAATCCAGAAGTCCATTCTATGATACAGAACAATGTTCTTTAGTTATGCCCCAGTGATTTCTCTGGTTAAAATGAATAACAACAAATGCTTATGGCTTGTGGTAAAAGAAGGACACCTTTAAACCATGGAGCTTCTGATTAGCATAAGCAGAGGGTCGTTTACAGTCAGGAATTCAAGGCCAGCCTAGTACACATAAAATTATCTCATTCCAAATATTTTGACACATGTAGTCATTTTCTGTGTTGTCACTATGAAATTGATCAATGCTTCAAGATGAACATACTGATGAAAGAAGAACCATTAGTTTTCATAGAAAACCCAGCTTTCATGACAATATGATGTTGGCCTATAAAAAAACAATTAAAAGTGACAGCTCAAATAAACAAAAAATTATTCCAGAAAATAGTAATATTTGCTAGTCATTATGTAAAAGAAGACAATTTCAGTAAAGGCCATATAACTTAAATGTATCAGTTCTTATTATATTGCTTACCTAAAATTAAAACATAAGTATTGAGAAATTTATAATACCACTCAGAATATATCTATGGTCTTATGACAAGGCCGCCTTGTCATTTTTGGTTTAACCCGAAACTGACTTTTCCTTTCCTACCCCTTCCATGAACCTTCTCTTGGGAATGTAGCCAACCCTTTTCTAGTAACTGGGAGGTCATAAAGTGCAAGTAACTATGTTTTTGTATTGGTTAAAGTGCTTGTTTGCTTTAGTTCCCTCTGCCAGTTGCCAATGACATAATTTTTCTGGGTTCTTTGCCTTTTAAAGCTCACTGTGAAATGCATTTGAGGCAGCTTCATGAGAAGTGTTTTTCTTCGGCAGTTGCTTAAGGCTGACTCTCAATTTGGATTTTGATGCTCCTGAATGATCATTGGGTCTCAAACACACAATTACAATTATCTAACATAAAAAAAACAATTATTAAGAACACAAAACATATAGGAATGAGGATTCAAGGGAAAACATACATTAAAATAATTTAAGAGCTAGTTATTATGAAAATTCACAGCACATAACACATGCATATGTGCACACGTGGTCAGATATCTTAGAGAACATAGTTTGATGAAATCTCAAAGAATGTATAACAGAACAAAAATAGGAAAAATGTGCCAGGAAAAGTATCACAGATAACGATAACATCTGATAAATGATAGCTACTGGGATGATTCATGTTTCTATTGAAACTGTGTCCAGTATAATGCACCTCTCCTAAGTCTAGAGTGGAATTGAGAAGGATGGAGGAGGGTTAGACAGCCTATCAATGAAGTAGGAGGAAACTCTCAGGACACCATACACTGTTCCTGTGAAAGATGGTGTCTGCAAAACCTTCTCTAATCATATTAGGTTTACTGCATAAGCAGGCAGTGAGTTTGTGAATTAGTACCAGGCTGTACCAAGCATCCCCAGGATGAGCACTGTTGCCTTTTCACACTCCACAATCATGCAGAGACAGCCAATTAGAACTCGGAAAGAACTGGCAGTAGAACTTGGGATCTAAAGTAGTTTAAACAGAATGGGAAAGGAGGTGAGACCTTAAGGAACTACCAGATATTTATAGTCTCCCCTTTCCCCATTCACTGGCATTGTAGAACACACTAGGGAATCATTACAGAAGAAACAGAAACCACTCCACTAGGTGATCTAATTCAAGTTCATAAAGACAGATATCACTGTGCCAAGTGTAATTTCATAGCTTCTAATTTTTAGACAAGTGTGCTTATGTAAGCGTGTGTATAGAGGTCAAGAAAATTGAAAGGAACCCATTAGAGTCTCAGTGTGGGATGGGGAAGGTGAAACAATACATGTGTTTCAGAAGAGAAAGAAGGAATAATGGACATGGGATAGCAGAAGCTTGGAAGAAGACTATGGAATGATAGAAGGAGAGATTTTTTGGCCAATAAAAAAACAGTAAGTAAGAAAATGCCTTAAGGAAACTTACTACTTTTTAAACAAATAAAGCATAGAATAAAAAAGAAGCCAAACATAAAAATCATCAATTTAAAATAAGGAAGAAAATACTGAAAATACTAACTTTGGGTGTGCATTTGGGTGAACAAGAGATCACATGCCAAAGCACTGTCTGTGAATGTCCCAGGACAAATATTTGAAAATGGGATACATACTCTTAAGTTGAGCTAATGTAACTCTATACACCAGTATTCACACTCCTTTTTATTTTTACAATATTCTATTCATTTTTTTAATTTTTCTGAGAAATACATTATATAATCAATTTAATTTGTTGTACTAACATAAATATATCTTATAGTCTATAGAACCATGACTTTAGTTTTTGAAATTAACATATAATTTTATAATTTTTTTCTTTCTTCCAACCCCTTCCAAGTAACAACATACAAACTTCCTCTCAAATTCATGGCTTTGGTCCTTTTTCTTTACCTGTTGTTACATAAGTATGTGTGTTTTTTTGTGTATGTATCTGTGTGTTTGTATGTATAATGCTACTTGTATTTACCTGATTTCAGGGTTCACCCTTTGGTACTGGATAACTAATTAGGGGATTCCTCCCCAGAGAAGACTATTTTCTCCCATTCTCAGCAACCCATTCTTGCTGTAGCTCTCACTCCTTAGCAAAGAAGATTCTCTTCGAAAAAGGAAACCTTACAAAAACTGCAACTGATCAACAACGAGCAAAGAATGATGCTGTGGTGCCAGGTACCAACTGATCTATCTACTGTACAAGTCCTGCACTCTAGGCTCAAGGAACTTAGTGTTAGAGGAGGCAGGAAGTTTGAAAATGCCAGAGGAACAGATATCTGCTGTGTAACTACATTTATTAGAAATATCATGGAAGCTACACCCATGAAGTCTCCACATGGCTGCCTATAAAAGGACACCAATACACATGCTAACGTGGAAGGGGAATCTAACTGGCCCTAATAATCACACTTTTATTTTTACATCATCCTGTAGCAATCATGGGAGTTTCAACCAACTGACCACACAAAAATACCTAGTGGCAACCTTTGATCAATTAATTAATACTCACGAAATAGATTTTTATACCACAATTCTGGCTTGACAGGATTCCATAACATTGCTGCTGGTGGCTCCATGGGGGCTGCTACTGAGCAGGGGGATGACTGTGCACTGAGGTCACCAAGGAGAGATGAAACAACAAAGACCATGACCAATTTTGGCATTGATGGTTCCACAGCACGAAGGAAGTGTATGGAGATTTTGCAGTGAAGGAGGACCATGCCAGGGCTCAAGGCACACTGGAAAAAAAAAGTTGTGCAAAATTTGGTACCAGATATTCAGGAGAACCATTTAGTCCAGAGTCATCTGCAGGTAGCCAAGCAACTCCAAGAAGAAGAAGAACTAAAACCCCATACTCAGTGCCAGGAGTGTTATAAAGATAGTGAACCAAAAGATCTAGAATCTACAAAGGGAATCAGGAGAAGCTGTTGGTTGAAGCTGAGTGAGGCATTTGGAAAAGGAAAAATGAGGACATGGTGCATCTTTTACAAAAGGTGGTTAGGTTACAGGAAAAGGAAAAAGAAGCTTCCAGTGTTGTCTGGAGGCAGCAGTTACTATGAAGAAGATGGAGGAATGGAATCAAGAGTGATGAAAGACGCTGCCTCTGCTCCATCATAGGTGACCCACAGGATTCAGGTTTGTATGATGGTGAAATTGCCCAGAAGTTAGAGAAATATATTTTAAATTGTTTTATTTCTGATGACTGAAGTAAAGAAAGCTTACAAGGTATGGCAGGAGTGAGAAAAGTCATCCTTGGACAAAAGAAAACATGACTGTAAGTGCAAGCAAAAGCAGCTAAGTCAACATACTCAGACATCAAAAGATGGTGCTGAGCATCATTTTCTAGAATTGACAGGCCCTCTCTAGTACCAACAATTATAACAATAGACCCTGAAGATCTGGATGACAGCCATGTTACAAATAAGCATAGTGTCAATTGCCATTTCTCAAAATCAGATTCCTCTCATAAAGGATTTCATAACAAATAGTAATTAAAATATCTGCCTTGAAACTGACCTTGCTCCAGCAAATATTACTGCTTGATACACAATTCATTCCACTTTGGTAGTTTGTCTTCATGCTGGCATTCTGGAGAATTACTCTTTTTTTTTAATCTTGATTTTCTTTTCTTTTTTTTTTTTCATTTTTCTTTATTAAGAAATTTTCTACACACTCCACATACTATATACACATCCCCTTGTCCCTCCTTCCACCCCCAGCCCTCTTTTCCAAGCCACCCCACATCTTCAATTCCCCCAATTCAAGGTCTCCTATGGGGAGTCAGCAGAGCCCAGAACACTGAGCCTAGGGAAGTCCAAGCCCCTTCCCACCTCATCATGGCTCACAACCATCTGTAGTGGGAACTGATACCCTCTTCTGGAATAAAATTCCCATTAGCTGTATGGTTGTGAATTTTGTTTCATTAGTTGAGGAAATACATCTAAAGAAAGAAAAGAAGGAGGGAAGGAAGGAAGGAAAAAAGAATGATAGAAGGAAAGAAGTGGGAAAGAAGGAAGAAAGAAATGAATAGAAGTGAGTTCTAATTAAAGTTGTTGCTTGTGTGGAGCTTCCTTCTGTACACTAAACTAGGAAAATCATGGTTCCCAACCATAATCCCAGCAAACATCATCCAATGTTTATGAATGTTGATACTAACCGTGGTGTGAGTTCACTGAAATGTTCCTCAGTGCACTTTAAAAAACATGTTTTAAAATTTATACTTGTGCTACTTCATATGACAACAACATATACATAGGAAATATAACACCATTTAGGCTATACCCTGTCCATCAGGGAAGAGGTGAAAGTGCAACCACCCAGGAAGATGTTTAAAGAGCTACCTACTCGCAATTGTCCTTACTAAAAGGACAGACAAATTCCCAGGAAGACAGTGCCAGTGGACCAATCCTGCCACATCTGTGAGGATGGAAAAGTTTTAAATTCTTGATGTGATACCTCATCCTAAGTGTTGTTGTGGCCTTTGGGACTCCTGGAATGACAATGA